GTTGACAAACTAACAAGCTTCCAAGTCAAATTCTTTTGTAGAGACTCCATTTCTTCATGTACATCCTTCATCCAATCTTGTGCTTCATTGCTTTCCATAGCCTCCTTATAAGTCTTTGGTTCAAATCGTTGCACTTCATTTGCAGCATTAAGAGCATAGCAAATAAGGTCAACATAACTATATCTGCTAGAAGGTTTAGGAACTCTCTTGCTCTATCTCTAACCAATTGATAACTTGATATATCCTAATTTACAGCAACTTCACCTGAACTTAAAGCTCTATCAATGGTTTCTTCAAAATTTTCAATTTAATTTATTTTTGAAGAGTGTGTGGAAAACTCCACCTCAAACTGAACATGATCTTTGCTAGAGCTCTCTTCCATTTGTTGTTCTTCAAGTATTCCCAATTTGGTCTCATCAAAGGTAACATCCCTACTAATTATGCATTTTCCTCCACCTTTTTCCAACTTCCATAGCTTGTAGCCTTTCACTCCATCTATATATCCTATGAAAACACATTTCATAGCTCTTAGTTCTAACTTACCCTTTTTCACATGAGCATAAGCTAAAGATCCAAACACTCTCAGATTGGAGTAATCTACAGGTTTTCCATGCCAATATTCCATGGGAGTTTTATGGTTCAATGTAGAAGAAGGAAACCTATTTATGAGATATGCAGCAGCGATAGCAACTTCACCCTAGAATTTCTTTGACAATCCTGAACCAAGAAGCATGCATCTAACCTTTTCCAAGATAGTTCTATTCATCCTCTCAACAAAGACCATTTTGTTTAGGTGTATGAGGGACTGTTCTATGTCTTTTAATCCCCTAGTTCCTACAAAACTCAACAAACTACTCTGAAAGAAACTCCAGGCCATTTTCAGTCCTTAATATTTTTTACTTGGTTTCAAGTTGGTTTTGAATTAGAGTATACCAATCCTTAAATTTTTTGTATGTCTTAGTTTTATCTTTTAGTATATACAACCACACTCTTCTAGTAAAGTCATCAATGATAGTGAGAAAATAAATACCTCCACCTAGAGTTTTAACTCTAGAAGGTCCCCACAAATCAACATGAACATACTCAAAAGGCCTACTAGAAACATGTATACCAGTTCCAGACTTTACCCTGTGAGGCTTACCTAACACACAATGTTCATAGAATTCTAACTTATCAAGCTTATCACCCTTGAGTAGATTCTGTTTTTCTAGTTCAATTAGGCCTCTCTCACTTACATATCCTAGCCTTAAATGTCATTGTTTTGTTTTATCAATGTCATTTCTAGTTATAGATGCATGAGCCATAACCGTGGATCCATCTAAGACAAACAAGCCATTATTCTTATCTTTGTTACCTTTAGCAATCACAAGAGATCCATTCAAAATTTTAAGTACACCATGTTGAGTCTTAGTAGCATAACCTAGACTATCAAACATGCTTATATATATAAGATTTCTCTCGAGATGAGGCACATACCTCACATCTTTAAGGATGTATTCTCTGTTGTCAAACATTTTTAGCTTGATTGTGCCAATTCCTTGCACCTGACATGGATGATCATCTCCAAGCAACATTGTCCCTCCTTCCTTAAGCTTCAAGGTTTCAAAATAATCCTTCTTGGGACACATGTGATAAGAACACCCTGAGTCCATAACCCATTCTTTTTGTGTCTGTTAAGTTTTGACTACAAGAATATCAGTACTCTCATAGCCATCAGATATTGCAGCTATGCAGTAGAATCAGCTGATGATTTTTGGTCCCTGTTCCTCTCAAGATAATTTTTCTTGAAATGACCAACCTTGTGACAGTGGAAGCACTTGAATTTTGACCTGTCACCAATTTTAGATTTTGATCTAGCTTTCTTTCCTTTCTGACTTTGTCCCTTTTTTCTCACTTCTGCCTCTTGACACATTCAAACTCTCCCCATTATCATCTGTCTTGTGGTCTTGTTGTCTTTGCAACTCTTTAGTCCTAATTGAAGTTTGCACTTCATCCAGAGTAATGTCCAATTCTTTGCCATAAAGAATGGCATCCTTGAAGTGTTCAAAGTTCCTTGGTAGTGAGTTCAAAAGGAACAGAGCCTTGTCTTCATCTTCCAGCTGTACTTCTATATTTTCCAAATCATCCAAGATCTTGTTGAACTCAGCTAATTGATCCTCAATTAATTTTGTTTCTATCATCTTGAACGAGTACAATCGTTGTTTCAAACATAATCTGTGAGCTAATGACTTTATCATGTACAAAGACTCTTGCTTAAGCCACATAGCTATAATAGTTTTCTCTCTAGCAACCTCCTTGAGAGCCTTGTCACCTAAACATAGAATTATAGCACTCCTATCCTGCTCAATCATTTTTGTTTTCTCCTTCTGATTTAAAGAACTTGACATTTTTTCTTCTCCTTTTATAGCTTCTACACACCCTTGTTGAATCAAGATTGTTTTCATCTTAATCCTCAAGTCCAAAATCATTCTCACCAGAAAACTTCTCTATGTCATACTTTGTATTTCCCATTCTTGATGGTGTTTCCACTTGTTGGTCCTGAAGCTTCTAACACCTAACAAGAAGATTAAAACATACAAGAACCACAAAATATTGGTGCACACATATGCACATAGATCGAATAATGTTTATAAAATGCAGAAATTAAAGATGAGAGAAAAAGAAAGAAGAACACCAAGCTTTACGTGGTTTAGCCTTGGGGCTTACATCCACGGGAAGAGCAACACCATTTCATTATGATCTTCAGGCAATACAAGTTACAAGTCCCACAAGAACCTTCACCTTATTCTATCACTTCTTGTAACTTTCACCCTTACTTGTTAATCACACACCCACTCACCAATCTGACTTGTATTTATATTACATACAAGAGAGAAAGATAAGAAAGGAAAATATATATAAAATATATACAAGGGAACCCAAGATTAAACCAAAATCATAGCCAACTAACAGAAAAAGAAGTTAGTTGAGAAACTGTTTTTTATTTTATTTTAGAATCACACAGATCAACACACCTAAATATTTTCCCAAGTTATCTGTTCATTGAAATCCAAACTTGTTGCTAATTTTTTCGCGAACTCTCCATGAAACATTTTTAGAAAAATGAATTCGGATTTTGTCTTGACTAACCTTTTGGTCGGAGCTAGAGCAAAACAAATCAATACATGCTTGAATAATCTCCACTTGATCCATGGGCGCTTCAGCAAACAGTAACAAGTCATCAGCAAAAGCCAAATGAATAATCTCATGTCCATCCCTAGAAACACAAATGGGCTTCTAAAGCTTATGATCCAATGCTATCTCGATTAAATGGAATGGTCTTTCCATGCATTGAACAAACAGATAATGATTGGAAGACTGAAAAAGATAATATTTGTTGACCCGTCTCAAATCTTAAATTTTCAATATCTTAAATTTTCAATATCCTAAACCCTAAACCCTAAACCCTTAACAAATAACATTGAAATTACTAGTCAATTATGGTATAAGAGGAAGAATATTATAATATATGCTTCAATTAGAGATGACAAAAATATTCGTTCCTACATGTATTTGCAAATAAAATCCGTCATAGATAATAAATAGGTAACTTAAATGGATACCCATGATTAATAGATATAAATATTTTTTTAATCCGTTTATAAATAGGGTAGGGGTGGGTATAGTAGTATCCATACTCACAGGTATTGCTAAATAGTATTACTCATGTATTTATATTTTTATCTTACATTTTACAATTTTAAAAATTAATATCAATTGTTTATCTTTAATATTTTAATATATTTAACATCAAATGTGAGTTTAAAATTATATACAATACTTTTTTTTTAATTTTTTAAATAATTCACAAATATCCATGGATACCCGCAAATATTTATAAAATTCGTAGGTACTCATTAAATGGATATCTACATGAATATGAGACAAGTACATGATAGATACTGGACGGATATGTGTATCCTATTATCCGTCCTCACGAGATCCCATTACCATCCCTAACTTCAATGATGATAGTAACATTGACAATGATAAAGATAATTATGATGGTGATAATACTTAATAACTTTATTTATAATATTTTAATTTAAGTTGCTTATTTTAATTTAAAGGTTGGGATTTGACATTCTCATACTCACATACAAATAATATTCTTATAATATACGCTTGATGTGTCTATATATACATATGACAAACTATTAATAATGTTTCAATGTTTAATTTAAATAATAAAGCCTAATCTCAAGCTTGAGTTTATTTTTTTAATTAAATAAACAACCTTAAATGAGTAATTAATGATTTAAACTCAAATATTTCATAAATAATTTAACTCACTTATACCCTTGAGTAGACATGTAAATTGGAATTGTTTAGTGGGTTTTTAACTAAATATTAAAAGATTTTGGTTCGGTTAAAACTGAATGGGCCTAGAAAATAAGAGCGAGCAAATCCCACATAAGATTATGATTGTTGCATCACAAGATAAATTACAAGACTCCTATAGTGATTAGAAGTGAGTTCCATATTAAGGGACGTGTCTATGTTAATTGCCCAACGTTAAAAATATTCTATTGCGATGACATGATTGTCATTCATGTTAATAAGTGAAAAATGACTAAGATGGCAGATGAATTGATGGAATTCTAATAGTTCGCTAATCTCTTCCTTAAAGTTTTGTCATTTTTTTAAATGAGTTTGCCCTTATAATACTATATAATCGTATCTTTTGATACAAGAGCAAATAATACTAATGCAACGTCATTTTTGGTTGAGAAGTCATATACGAGAGAATGGTACGTAAGAGCAATCTTAATCTTGAGTTGATGTGGTAAATTTGGAATTGAGACCGAATTTGTTATTTCATGGCAACCAAATCAAAAGTTTGAATGCTCGAACTCCATTGAAGAAAAAAAAAAAAAACGAGTCAACGGTTGTTTCCAACATGTTGTCACGAACTAGATTGGCGCTCCAATTCATGATATAGTTCATCATACAAAAGAATAAAATATGAACCTCAATTTTTATACAACAGAGAGGCATAATTAATAGTTAAATCAGAAGAAAGAATGAAGCATAAACGGCCGAAAATCGTAATTAATGAATCCAATGAATGACAACAAGATCATAGGCAAATAAATCGAAAGAAAAAAGAAAATATTATGCAACTAGCTAGCAAGGAATTTGACGAGTGAACCATCTAAGAACTTTAATGGGAAGCTTTACAAGACTCACAGCCAAATTGGCCAATCCGGCGCAGCAAATGCAACATGGGCACAAACAACTCAATATAGATCTGCACAATCCCCATAACCAAAAATCACAAAATGGGGGTAAAAGAAAGACAAGAAAATTTTCAAAATAATGTTTATTTTTAAGTGAATAAAGAAAAAGATTGAAAATTGAGAGAGAGAAAAAACGTACCCAAGAACCCAGATAACTGCACCCACAAGAGATAAAATCAAAGCCAAGAGAGCAAAGGGCAATCCGAGCAAGAAACCTAGTGGCCTGCATTCGCAACCTTCTTCTCCCATGATGTCTGTCTCTGTAGAAAAATTTGATGTCAAGTGGGAATCGTGCTATATAACCGATTAAGCGTGTTTGTTGCGTTGAATTTTCAAGTTATTTTGAAGACACTAGCCACCGTGACGCTGACGCTGACGCGGACGCTGATTTTTATAAGTAACGTTTCGGAACATTCACTTATGGACTTAATTGCCCTTCAATTAACGCCTCACTTTTGGAAATTCAATGTATGGAAGTTTCCTCATGTGTTTCGTGAACATGCTTTCTTTGTTGGCCGTCTTCTTCTTTCCTTATTTCTCACCTTCAAGTTCACTTCTTTTTTATTTATTAATATGTTATATATTTTATTTCTGCTTAGTTAACTTGTTTTTTATATTAGATATGCTTTGTGCAATCTTTTTTCCTCTTACTAGTTGGAAAACCTTTATTCATCATTAGTTTGAAAATAGGCTAAGGTGTCCAAATTCAAGTTGGATACAATATATTCAATTTACAATCACTATAAGTAAAAATGATTTCTCTTTGAAACACAACAATATATTCAATACTCAAATCCCAAAGATGCCGAAATATATAATATCAGTTGATAATAAAGATTAATAAATATTTGTTTATTCGTAACATTTAAATGCATTTAAAAGTGTAATTTAATAATTATAATACTTTAGGACTTATGGACCAATTCCGCATGTGTTCAGCCCATTATACGATAGCTGGCCCATGCGAGGCTGGGTCAATTCACGCTAGTCTAAGAATTTTTTTGGCTCATGATATATACACCTCCTTTTTTTTTTTTTTTTTTTTTTTTATAAGTACACCTCCTTTATTTTTTTAAAAAAATTATAAAATATTATAATTTTCTTTTAGTTTTTTTAATTTTACACCTCCAACTTTTAATTTTTTACTTTTTTCTTTTATTTCACACACTTTTTTTTTCTCTTTTAGTTTTCACATGTTATCAAAATAGGCGGGGTGAAAAAAATGTAAAGGAGGTGCATGTAAAAATTGAAAAAAAAGAGGAATGATGTGTGAAAAAAAAGTACTAAAATTAAATGTTGTAGATGTAAAATTAAAAAATTTTAAAAAAATTAGGAATATTTTAAAAAATTAATTTTTTTTAAAAGGAGGTGTACTTATAGAAAAAAGGAAGTATATATATCATGAATTTTTTTTTCTTTCTCAGCCGAACCTTGTCTTGCTTGCTTTTTGATTAAAACTCAAATTTTCCTTGCAAGAAAAATATCAAAATTCACTATACTTACGAATATTTTAAAACAAATATACATTACCAAAAGGCAATTTTAAAATCAATCCAACATTTAACTGACTCAATTTGTCTTTATGCTACAAATGTTCTTGGGAGATTAAAATTATTATTATCTTTTTTTGAATTGTAAGAACTACAATGATAAAATTTAAATTTTAAAAAAAAATTAATTTACCTCAAATTTTAGGAACTAAAAATACATTCGATTTAAATCAACATTAAGTAGATAAGGATCATTGAGTGGGGTAAAGTAGGAGTGTAAGTGAGTAGTAACTCATTTGGGAAACTGACCTACTTAAACCAACACAATTATATTTTTATGGGTTGTGCTGAATAATTTTTATGCTATTTGATTATAATTGAGTTGGATAATGGGTCAATGACTTTACTATTTGATGAACCTAACATAACTCAACTTATAATAAATTATGAAATTAATATACAAATATTATACACATGATACAATATAATGTATAAAACACTCCTATGCATACATTTGATTCTACTTCATTTTATCAAATGTTGTAGTAATGAGTTGATTGACTAGAGTGAATAAATCATAAATAAAAAAGAATAATCTAATTCTATTTGTTATGTAAATCAAAATTCAATAATTAGTGATATAATGTTTGTTTGTTTGAGATAGTTGTGATTTCTCATGTATAATTGTTGTAATGTTGTTTGTACTTTTAATAACGTTAAAACTTGAATTAAGTATTTTTTTTTCTTTTGTATTTTATTTGTTTCAATTTTTTAGAAAAATATTTATTTTTTAATTGTGCAACCCATTGATCTTATTTGACCCAATTCAATTGTAGTTGAGTTGGTTTGAATTAGGCCACTTTAATCCAACTCAACTAAGTTTAATTGGATTAGATACTAAAATAGTTTAGACTTAACTCATCTCTATCCAATTTATTTACACCTCCTAAGATAAACCCTAAACTAGCCTCCCTTCCTCATTTAGGGAAAAGGGATTACATTAGAATAAATTACTAAGTTTGACTTAGGATTTATTTGAATAAGTTTCTTTAAAAGTACTTTTAAGAAAATAAAAATAAAAATAAAATATAATAAACTTCATAAACTGAAATTAGATTATATAAAAATCAATTTGTAGGAGTTTTCTTCTTATTAACTTCTCTAAAATTTTATTTTATTTTACTTACACATAAACTGATTTTAATTTATAGAAAAAAATATTTTATTTTATTTTTATTATTTTTCTCTCTTAAAAATATTTTAAAAGAAGTTTATCCAAACACATCCTTCTTCAACTATTCACATTGTAATCTATGATGCTAGTAATAAACTGAGTTACATAAGCTACTTCAATCGAAATGAACCCCTAAGATTGATCTCAATAATATTGAAATTGATGGAATAAAAATATGGTCAAATCAGTTCATCGTCCATTCAAAATTAGTGGTAGTTGTTTTTATTTGATTGTTGGTTTAACAAAAGCACAGTAAGATGGGTGATATGTCCCTTGCACCAATGAACATCACGTAACTTTGACATCTCCTTCTCTTCAAGCAAAAAAAAAAAGAGGTGTCTAGCTAAATACAGAAATTTGATGATCAATGTAGTAAGAATGTGATAATGGATTATTGCTTAAGAGAGTCTAACCAAGATCCACCTACAAAGTGTTTGGTACATATTAAAATAATGGATCGGAAAAAAAGAAATAATTACCTATCATTTATGCCCTTTGGAAAAAGAAATAGTTTGCATGCATGAACAGTAAATGTATGCATATGCTATTATGCACTCGCTTCAAAATATATTTCTACCCATTCTTACTATAATAAGCATGTACATAGATTTTGGTTAATTAAAAATCTACTAAAACCTGTTTAAAAAACAAAAAGAAATATTCATTTTAAAAGAATGGGTAGATCGGGAAAAATTTACTTCGAGAATAATTTTTTTACTTCATTAAATATTTTTATATATATTAAATTTAAACAATCTAACTATTGAATTAAATTTTTTAATATAATTTTTAAAAAATTAAAAAACTATTAAATAATTTCTTACAAAAATTTAATTAACATTATTTATAAAAATATATTATATGTTGATTCAATTTATGTAACAAAGTATTAAATAATTATCAAATTTTACAAAAAATTTTAAACTTGATTTATTGAATGAAAAATTAATAATGGAATTATTGAAATTTAATGTATATGATAAATTATTAAGTATATTAGTTTTATCAAAAATTACTCTTAAAGTAACTTGATTTCCACCTTAAAAAATAAGCATATATATAGGATTTTCTTGAATTATAAGATGTTCTTGAATTATAACAAAACTTTCCTCTCCAAGTCCCTATCCTGGCAAGGGCATTTCCACATCTACTCCTCTCTCTAATTTATTTAATATTATTAAAATGATAATATAATATTAATTGTAAATAATACTTTCTAATTTTTTTCTCTTTATTAATTACTCCTATTTTTTTATTTAAAGACATTTGCATTATTTTATAAATATAATTTTTCCTCTTAATCTTGCTACTTTCTTTTCAATCAAACAAGAGAAATAAAAACACTCATCTTTTTTTAGTTAAATGAAAAAAATATAATTTTTCTCACTAAGTCAAACCTTATAAAAGTAAAGTGATATCTTTAATTAGATTGCATGTTTAAGTTATGAATTGAACCTTCTTCCTTAATAAAAGACTATAAGTATTGAATTACTTGTACTAATGATCAAAATTGATAAATATTTATCTTTCTTTTATTCTATTTTCTTTCCTATAACTTAAATAATAATTGATTAAATATGTTTATAATTTTTGTATTTTTGTCAATTTTTGTTTTTAGTCTTTGTACAAGTTTTATTTGATTTTAGTCTCTATGAATTTTTTTCATGAACAAAAAATTTTGACACTAAAAAAGAGAAAAAGTATAAGGACTAAAAATAAAAATTAAAAAAAATTAAGGGACTAAAATTAATAAAAAAATGTTTAAAAACTAAAAATAAAAATCGACAAAAAAAATTAAGGGATTAAAACCATTCTTAATTCAATAATTAAAAACATTTTGCTTTCTATTATCTTTCTTTTATTCTATTTCCTTTTAACAAACAAACATAATGTTACTGTGCCTTAATTTTATATTTGACTAGGAGGTGTTGACCGACTTGGTGCATGGGTACAACACTCGTAGGAATCCTTTTTTCATACTTAAAAAAAAAAAAAAAGTTGTCATGACACATACCTTATAATTTGTGAAACAATACTTATATTATTAAAAATTAATTTTATTTTATTGTATACAATATATAATTTTATATTATTAAAAAATAAAGTAAAGATATAATAACACATAATATATGTTGTTAAATTTTATTCAAAATTATTAAAATTATGTATAATTATATGTCAAATAAATTTAATTATATATATATATAATTACATTTTTTGTATTTTTCTATGTATAACATTTCTTATAATGTTATTTCAAACACTATTATTTCACCTTTTGCATTTGTAAACACATCAAAATGTTAAAACAAAATATAATAGTTTATTTAAAATAAATTGGAAAGCAAATACAAGCATCTCCAAGTAATAAAGATTCCCATAAATGATTCACTAATGTTCTTATTCCACTTTAAATAGATTCTATCATATTGGATTACTCTTAAGTAACTTAAACTAATTTTTTTACATTTTATTTCAATGGTGAGATTTTATAAACAATATTATTTTGGATCATGTAACTTGGCTCCATAAAAGTTGATGCTGCCACCTATGTCGATCTTCTTGTATACACAAAGATTTATACCGATATATGTACACGCATACAAACAGGTCTA